GGGGCCGACTCGATGGCACATAACAACAACAATAGGGGGCTCTGGTGGTGCAGTGGTTAAGGCATTTGGTTGCTAACCAAAGGTTGGCTGTTCAAATCTACTAGCTGCTCCATGGGAGAAAGATGAGGTAGTCAGTCGGCTTCTGTAAAGATTGACAGCCTCGGAAACCCTATGGTCAGTTCTACTATGTCCTATAGGGTTGCTGTGAGTCAGAATCGACTCAATGGCAGTGGGTTTATTATACTATACAATAGCTATTGGGCGTATTGTTCAACTTTCTATTTATATACATCAGCAACTGTTCAATGTGACTTTTAAATTTGTACTTGCTGTTCTTGCCACAGTTGTAAAATTTAGAAAGTAGAGAAAAAAAGAAAATTCTCAGAATACCATCACCAAACCTGACAGTGGTAGCACTTTGATATTATTCTAGTCTTATTACACAGGTACAAATATGTGCTTATAAATGCTTTTAAAAACCTTGTATCCCAAGTATTTTTGGAGTGCCTTTAAAGTAATAATACTAATTCTATGTTGTTTTTGTTGTCATGTGCTGTCGAGTTGGACCCGACTCATAGTGTCCCCTCCTTGGGTTTCCAAGGCAGTATCGCTACGGAAGTAGCCTGCCCAGCCTTCCTTCCGAGGAGTGACTGGTGGGTTTAAACTGCCAGCCTTCTGATCAGCAGTCAAGTGCCTTAGGCACTATGCTACCAGAGCTCCTACTAATTCTATAAGCTTTCCTTAAAAAGTAGATGTTATAGTTGGTATTGTTAAAGATTGGTGCATTATGGTTAGATATTCTATTTTACTCTTAGTAGCTGTTGCTTGTATAGATCACTATTCTTATTTATAAAAATTAAGACTTTAATAACTACTACTTTTGTTTAATTGCAAAGGCTATTAGCCCATTTTTAAATCATCTATCCAAGAAATTGACATTTACTCTTTTCACCCTGAATTTTTTTTATCTGTAGACTTAGATGATAGTGGAGTGAGCTCTAGAAAATGTGGGGCCAATGATTATGGATGTTTGCGAAAGAATGTCTGGCTCAGGTTATAATTTACTATCCAGCTTGGAATTTCATTTTATTCATTATAGCTAAAAACTCAGCAGAACTAGAAATGAGATCTCAAGTGATCAGCACCAAAGTTGGAAGTCAAATGTGATTTAAAATGAAAAAAAAATCTTGAATTTTGTACCCTTAGCCAGCATACCTATAAAACAGGTAAGTATAAAGAGATAGATTATTTTTTTGATCTGAAACCCACTGAGGCTAAATTGTTTTTAAAATAAGTTTTATTGCCCTTGAATATATTATAAAAGGCAATTTAATGTGATACTAATTATATAATTTAATTCCCTGGTAGCGTACTGCCTAAGGCACTTGACTGCTAACCAGAAGGCTGGTGGTTTAAACCCACCAGCCACTCCTTGGAAGGAAGATGGGGCAATCTACTTCTGTAGTGATACCACTTCAGGAACCCAAGGAGGGGTCGCTATGAGTTGGGTCTGACTTGATGGCACATAACAACAACAAGAGTATGAATAAGGAATTAAGAAGAGTATATAATTTTAAATATCCTGTAAGTTCTTAATAGGAAGTATTAGAGTGAGTAAACTTTATTTCTTACCTTGTGTGTGTAGAGCAACTTGCTGAGCTTCGTCAGGAGTTTCTTCGACAAGAAGACCAGCTTCAGGACTACAGGAAGAACAATACTTATCTTGTGAAGAGGTTAGAATATGAGAGGTGAGATGCTAGATACAACAAATATTTTTGAATTTAAAATGCTTGTCCAGCTTTTGGACTTAATTCATTTCTCCTTTCTGACTTCTGCTTTCCTTTTCTTCTGCTTTCTTAGGCTTTTAAACTCCTTTTCTGTTGTCTTTAAAGAAACTCTGGTGGCACAGTGGTTAAAGCATTCAGCTGCTAACCAAAAGGTCAGCAGTTCAAACCTACCAGCTGCTTTGTGGGAGAAAGATGAGGCAGTCTCTTTCTATAAAGAAACTCTATGGGGCAGTTCCACTCTGTCCTAAAGGGTCACTGTGAGTCAGAATTGACTTGATGGCTGTAAGTTTTTGAATCTTTTTATTGTCTTTAGATGCTTCTTTGAAATCTTTTTTTTTTTTTTTTAAATATAAAGGTGATTTTTAATATCTTTCTTAAAAAACTTGTTTTTTAAAAAGCAGAGTTTGATAGATACACATAGCTTTTTTCATATGTATAAAAATGTCTTTGATAGTTTGACAGATGATTTGAAAAGATACAAATAACCTGGGCCCAAAGAATATCTGCTGTGCTGCAAAGCACAGTTCTTCTGGAATGTTTCTGTGTAACCCCCACCACTTCACAAGTCTTCTTTTTTTTCTTTTGCTGTGTTAAACACCACGAAATTGTGTCTTCCAAGGCATGTTGATTCATTGTGAGACAGAAAGTCTTGGAAGCTCTAGAGTTTTATCAAATTAGATGTAGCAAAGCTGAAAGAAGATTCTGTGGTTCTTTTGGAGGGGCATCTAGGAAATGGAGCCAACCCTGGAAGATGTCCCAAGAATGGTCAAGGGACTAAGAGTGCTGGCTGCTGCTTCTGCTCTGCACTTCAGCTCCCTGCTCATATCTCTACACTCAGTTGGTGATGAGGTTGGGGAACCTCTTAGGGACCTTTTTAGTGATCACTCCTTAAAAAAGCTTTGTTGTTGTTGTTATTTGCCATCGAGTCGGCCCCGACTCCTAGCGACCCCTCCTTGGGTTTCTGAGGCAGTTATCACTACAGAAGTAGGATTGCCCAACCTTTATATGTTTAATCAGTTTATGGTAAAAGGTATATTTTAGATCTGCATACCAAAAATTAGAAAGAATCACCACATTTTAAAGTATCTTTTAGCCATCTCTAACTAACTTCTTCGTCTCTTATCAACGTGAATTTACACACACACACACACACACATATCTATTTTTAACCTAACATTATTCAGTATTTTTCATATGTCTGTAGAATTAGAGATTTAATGTATGTAGGGGTAATAGGTTACGCTGGAATATTCATGTATCAAAGTTTGTTTAATCTCTCCCAAATGCTAGATCACTGTAGGAGTTGTCCTTTTCTTTCACTATTACAACTATCACAGCTATAAAAATCTTTACGCAAAAAGAGTTTTCAGCCTCTTACATTATTTCATTGGTGTATATTCTCAAAAGTAGAATTCCTGAGACAGAATGTTTGATCAATTTTCTTTTTATAGCATAGATGAAAGATTGATTTTCTAAAATGATTTTATGAATTTATGTGGATAGATGTTTTCCCATAGCCCTGCCAATATTGGTTTTTATAATTCTAAATTAATTTTGCTAGTATAGGTAGAAAGTATACCATATGTACAGATAGGAAGTTTAATTTGCATTTTTAATGATGAAACTTACCATTTCTCTATTATGTATTAACCATTTGTTTCTTTTTTGCATGGTGTATTTGTTACCACCCTTACCTGTTTTAGTCCTTTACATTTTCTGTTGATGACACTACTTTGTCTTTATTAGTTTCTTCCATTCCTGTTGTCATTCTTATGGTTTAGACTTTTATTATTGTATTTAAAGTACTAACTATTAGATGAATCATCTGCTGCTACTCCTCGTCAACTTTCAATTCTAGCTTTTTTGGTCCATTACTTTATAGTGGTACTTACGGTTTTTCTTTCCTATATTATTTTTCTGTGGTTGAAGTTGGCTCTGATACTTTTTCTTTATAGTAGAAAACTAATTGTTTTCATCTTTCTCATTTCTGTTTTCTCAATTATTAGTTTTATCGGTATTCTCTGTCCTCTTTAATATTTGATTGAAAGAATCAAATATTTTTAAATTTTCACTGTGACCTATTTTTAGGTCTACTCTTTGCCCTTCCCTGTCCACTCTACTCTGCTAATTGGATGTTTTATCTTTTTAATGTATGTCAACTTTAGACAGTTTTGACATTCAGTCCAAGGTAATGAAATCTGAAAGACTGACTTTGTAATTTAGTTTTCAGTGTGGACAACAAATCAAGGAATTACGAGCACAGCATGAAGAAAATATTAAAAAATTAGCAGACCAGTTTTTACAAGAACAAAAGGTAATTAAAAAAAGCTACACTTAAAATGTTTCTTTTATATAAACAATGTAATTTGGAAATTTAAATATATACTTTTGTCATAAAATATATATTTTTAAGTATTATAACTGGCTTCATTCAAACAGTGATTTGCAGTAACTTTATTGCTGTGTAAATTAGATATTTGCAAAAATTTACTTACAACTCTTAAAACTAATTTTGAGCTAAAATACTTGACTTTAAAAATTAATTTTGATATTTGTATGTTTCTCAGACTGTGAAGTGGATGACTTTTTACACCTTTGAGAAACTGAAAAAATTGAGAAACTTTCCTTAATTATCCTTTCTTAAAACAAAGAAATGAAACCCTAGACATTACAACCAATTTTGATGAGTATTTTTAGGGTGGCAGATTCTTTTATTAATTTATCCATGGTAAGTTTATCTATATTATGGAAGCTCTGCTAGAAATAGAGGGAATTTACCTGAGGATGACTAGGTATTGAAGACGTGATTCATTCTCTATACGTTTTAATCTCATCTGTCTAGGCATGTTTTGCATTAATTCTTGTGATTTAAAGTAAAGAGATTAAATAGTGAAAAGTATTTATTTCTGTTGCTCTTTGTTAGCATCTTACTTAAAAGGCTTAATTAAGGAGACCTTAAGGAAACTTGGTTTTCCTTTCTTAGCTATCTCACTATTTTATAGTAGGATATTGAAGGCATCATTTTCTATTTCATTTTTAAAATCTATAATCATAATAGCTGCCACTTATCTGTAGTCTTCCTTCAAAAGATGTGAAGATGGCAGGCCTGAGTGAACTACCATAGTAGGAACATCAGAGGCAACCAGGAGTTATTATGAAGATGCTAAGGAGTTAAGAGTATGGTAGAACACAAGAGGAGGGAGAAGAAAGGTATACCATAGCAATTGTGTCATTATAAATCCAGGTTTCCCCTGCTGGCTGAAAGTAGTGTTCTATGAAACTTTTCATAAGCCAAAATGGTGTAAAGCGAGGAAGCAATACCATTAATTAATATGGGAAAAAATTTGAGCATTCTGAGACCCAAGAAATAACTTACTAAATCAAACCAAATACATAAAAAACCCTAAAATAATGCTAATGTATAGTGTCGTAGACACAGGTCAAAGCCGTGGTGCCTTGATGCTGAGATGCCAAATGTAGGAGCTTGGTGGTTTACTGCAAAACAAACACTGAGCACTTGTTTCACTTTTTGCCATATTTTGGAAAAAGTGAAAATCCTCTTTGGATTTATTTCAGTTAATGAAAACAGATACTAAATATAGGTCTTTTGTAAAAGCAAAATGGCATAAAGGAAACTTTGAAAAGCGGGGATACCTGTAAATATGTTCTCCCCACAGAGGGCAAATGAGAGTTTTCCCCGGCAAAAGTAGTTGTCTCTCTCTGCTTTACTATACCAGGCTGTTTTCACACTATTAGTTAACTATTATCCTCTCCAATCCCTCCCTGCCATTCTCCTGCCCTAAATGGAACAGGCCAGCTGGGAATGGAGGTGCTTATGTCTGTCTGTTCCCCACCTGTCATTCCCTATTCTTCAGCTGCTGTAACAACTTGATTCTGTGAAATCCAAATTGCTTTTTCATAGGAACAATCCCCATGTTAGCTATATGAAACAGGCATAAGTTGTATTCAGGTAGGTTTGTTTGTTTGTTTTTTAAACCAAGCACATGGATATCTTAGAAATTACTCTAGAAAACAAACTACAGCCCACAGGCCAAGTCCAGTTCACTATTTGTTTTCATATTGTTCACCACAAACTAAGAATGGTTTTTATACTTTTAAGTGGTTAAAAAAATAAAAAGAATAGTAAATATTTTGTGACGTGAAAATGTTCAGATATTTGCATTTTAGTGTCCCTAAATAAAATTTTATTAGAAAACAGCCATGCTCACTAAGGCACTTGACTGCTAACCAGAAGGCTGGCGGTTCAAACCCACCAGCCACTCCTCAGAAGGAAGATGGGGCAATCTACTTCCGTAGTGATACTGCCTCGGAAACCCAAGGAGGGGTTGCTATGAGTTGGGTCTGACTCGACAGCACATAACAACAACAACAACATGCTACAAAGGCAGAGAAGTGGTCACAAAACAGAGGAAACTAAGGAGATCTGAGGACTTGAATACAATTAAGTATTTAATTGTACATTGATCCTAGAGCAGAAAAAAGACTTAGTGGAAACACTCGTGAAATCTAAAGGAAGTCTGAAATTTAGTTAATAAAAATGTATTAATATTGATTTCTTAGGTTTGATAAGTGTACCATGATGATATAAAATGTTAATATTAGGGGGAACTGGATGAGGGATCTAAGGGAACTCTCAGTATTTTTAACTTTCCTGTAAATCTAAAATTATTTCAGAATAAGAAGTTTATTTTTTAAAAAATTAGAAGTCCCCCTCACCAAATCCCCAACATTGCATATAGAAAGCTATCTTATTTTATTAAGAATATTTAATATTGTCCGTTCACATAGATTTCTATCAATAATGCATCAAAGAGACAGCATCTTTGCTAACTATTTTAAGTGGACAGTAGCTTACTGACTTTTAATTTTTGTTTTATCTACATTTGTAAAACAGTAGAATATTATAGAAATGTTGTGTGCCTTTATTTTGGTTATTCATATTGCTCTAACAGCAATATACCACAAATGGGATGGCTTTAACAAATAGGAGTTTATTCTCTTACAGTTTTGGAGTCTAGAAGTCCAACTTCAAAATGCCAGGCTCTAGGGTCTGGGTGAAAGCCCCTTGACCTTGGGCTTCAGCTCTGCCTCCTGCTCCTGGCCAACTGAAGCTGGAGGCTTTCTTCAGTCAGGCAGCTGCTGGCTGCTGAGGCTGACGAACTCAAGGTCGACAAGTAAAAAGGCACAGTGCTAATATCACCAGACAACTCGGCAGGCCACTAATTCAAGTCCAGAAAAAGCCCCAAGATCAGCAGGGCATGGCAGCCTGCTGAACAACAACTTGGCTACTTGCAGCATTCAAGCATGCCAAAAGGCTAGAGCCTTTCTTCATAGTTGCTTCTTATATACTAGAAGCAGACCACATCTCTAAAGCAGCCACTCAGCTACTCCAGTAGATTCTACCATGGAATTGATTACAATCTCACCATGGGGAATAACTACATCCAGCTGCCCAGCCACTCAACTAGACCCAGCCACGCTGACACATAACCTTAACTACTGTAGCTATTGAGTTGATTCTGACTCATAGCAACCCTATAAGACATAGTAGAACTGCCCCTTAGGGTTTCCTAGGCTATAAACTTTTATTTATTAAACTTTTCATTGTGATTTGGGTGAAAGTTTATAGAGCAATTTAGTTTTCCATTCAATAGTTCATACACATTTTGTTTCCTAATGTTGATTGCAATCCCCACAATGTAGCAGTTTTCTTCCCACTTCCTCCCTGTGGTTACTTTTTCCCTGTGTTCCTCTTTCCTGTGCATTCCTTCCTTCTGAGCTTTGTCTTGAGTAAATGCTGCCCTTCTGATCTCCCGTGGTTAATTGTTCTAAGGAGTGTACCTCCTTAGTATAATTGTTTACTTTATAGGCCTGTCTGCTGTTTGGCTGAAAGTAAGTCATGGGACTGAGTTCAGTTCCAGGCCAAAAGGTAACTGGGGGCTATGTTCTTGAGGAGTTCACCAGTCTCTGTCACATGTTTTAAAAGTTTTTTTTATGATTTTGAATTTTGTTCTACATTTTCCTCCTACTCTATCCAGGAATTCCTATTTTGAACCCTTTCCAAGTGGTTAAAAGTGGTAGCTGGGCACCATCTACTTCTGGTCTCAAGGTTGTGTAGCCTGAGGTTCCCATGGTCCACTAGTGCCTTGGACTCACTGTTTTCATACATCTTTGATTTTCTTTGGTGTTCTTTGTTCCAGATGAGGTGAGACCAGTAGTTGAATCTTAGATGGCTACTCATGAGCTTTTAAGACCCCAGTTGCTGCTTACCAAAATAGATTGTAGAACAGTATTTTTGCATACTGTTATCCCAGTTGAGCTTGAAGTCCCCTACAACCATGGTCCCAAACGTGAAGGTCCACTGACTCAACACCTGAAAGCTGTAGTCCTTGATCTTCATCACTAAGTGCTTCCAGTCTTCCTTACTTTCAGCAGGCAAGGTTGTGTTATATGTGTTTCACAGATTGTTAATGAGTCTTCCTCCAATCCTGATGCCTATTCTTTTTCATATAGTCCTGCTTCTCAAACAACTTAATCAGCATACAGATTAAATAAGTATGATGAAATGATACAACCCTGACACACACCTTTCTTGATTTTAAACCGTACAGTATCCCTTTGTTCTGTTCAAACAACTGTCTGTGTACAGGTTCCTCATGAGTACAATTAAATGTTCTGGAATTACCATTCTTCATAATGTTACCCATAATTTGTTGTGATCCACATAGTCAAATGCCTTTGTATAGTCAGTAAAACACAGGCAGACATCTTTCTGGTATTCTCTGCTTTAGCCAGAATCCATCTGACAGCAGTGATTATATCCCTCATTCCATGTCCTTTTCTGAATCCCACTTGAATTTTTGGCAGTTGCCTGTCAATGTCATGCTATGACCATTTTAAAATTATCTTCAGGAGAATTTTACTTGCGTGTGATATTAATGATATTATTCGATATTTTCTGCATTCTAATGGGTCACCTTTCTTTGGATCAGTCATGAATATGGATCTTTTCCAGTTGGTTGGCCAGGTAGCTGTCTTCCACATTTCTTGGCATAGATAGATAGGTGAGCAGCTCCAGTGTGACATTCATTTGTTGAAACATCTCAATGGATATTCCATCAATTCCTAGAGGCTTGTTTTTGGCCGACGCCTTACGTGCAGCTTGGATTTCTTTCAGTACCGTTGGTTCTGGATCATATGCTACTCTCCTGAAATAGTTGAATGTCAGCTGATTCTTTTTGGTACAGTGACTTTTCTGTATTCTTTCCATCTTGTTTTGATAGTTTAATATTTTGCCTTTAGAATCCTTCAGTATTGCAACGCAAGGCTTGGATTTTTTCTTCAGTTCTTTCAGCTTGAGAAATGCTGAGTGTATTTTTCCCTTCTGATTTGTTAACGCCAGATTGTTGAGCATTTCGTTATAATTGTCTTCTTGAGCTGCCCTTCGAAATCTTCTATTCAGGTCTTTTTACTTCATCATTTCTTCCATTCACTTAACTACTGTCCATTCAAGAGCAAGTTTCAGAGTCTCTTCTGACAACCATTTTGGTCTTTTCTTCTCTATTTCAGGACCTTTGCTTTCTTTATGTATGATGTACTTGACATCATTTACAACGTGTCTGGTCTTCAGACATTTGTGTTCAATGCATCAAATCTATTCTTCAGAAGTTCTCTAAATTCAGGTAGGATATACCTCAGGTCATATTGTGGCTCTTGGGGACTTGTTTTAATTTTCTTCAGCTTCAACTTAGACTTGAATATGAGCAGTTGATGGTCTGTTCCTTTGTTGGCCTCTGCCATTGCTCTGGCTGATGATACTGAGTTTTTCCATCATTTCTTTCCACAGATGTAGTAGATATGATTCTTGTGTATTCCATCTGATGAGGTCCACATGTGTAGTTGCCATTTATGTTGCTAAAAAAAGTTATTTGCAATGAATAATTTGTTTGTCTTGCAGAATTCTATCATGCAGTCCAGCATCATTTTTGTCACTGAAGCCATATTTTCCAATTACTGATGTTGCTGCTTTCTTTCCAACTTTTGCTTTCCAATTACTAGCAATTATCAATTTATTTTGATTGCATGTTTGGTCAATTTCAGACTGTAGAAGTGAGTAAAAATATCTTCACTTTTTCATCTTTGGCTTTAGTGGTTTTTGCATAAACGTGAATAATGTAATGACTGGTCTTCCTTGTAGGTGTATGGATATTGTTTTATCACTGACAGTATTGCATTTCAGGATTGATCTCGAAGTGTTCCTTTTGACTATGAATGTGATGCCATTCCTCTTAAATTTGTCAGTTTTTACAATTTCCAATTTTCCTAGAGTTATACTTCATGCATTCTGCATTCTAATTATTAATGGATGTTTGCAGCTATTTCTTCTCATTTTGAGTCGTGCCTAATCAGCAAATGAAGGTCCCAAAAGCTTTATTCCATCCATGTCATTGAAGTCCACTCTACTTTGAAGAAGCAGCTCTTCCCCAGTTGTATTTTGAATGCCTTCTAACCTGAGGGGCTTATCTTCCAGTACCATATCAGTGTTTCACTGCTATTCATAAGGTTTTCAGTGACCGATATTTTCAGAAGTGGACTGACCCTTTCTTCTTCTTAGTCTGTCTTAGTCTGGAAGCTCCGTTGAAACCTGTTCACCATGGGTGACCCTGCTGGTATTTGAAATACAAGTAGCATAGCTTCTAGCATCACCACAACACGCAAGCCACCACAGTGCAACAAACCGACTAAATGAGTGATGGGATATATTTGCAGCACATATAAATGCGTATGTAGAAATATCCTCTGCCAAACATGTATGTATATGTTCACAGGTGTACTCTGACATGCCATCTCACATCTATTCAACTTACATATCTACCTATATATCCACTCATAAATTATTGTTTGTCATAACTGTTATTACAGGATTATTTATGTAGTAGTATTTGCCTTTGTTGCCTTTTACTTTTGTTTACCTCCCAGTGTCTTCCTTTGCCTTGGTCATATTGTGCTAGCCCCCTCTCCCGTCCTATTATGTATTGCCTTTCCCTTCACCCAAGTTACTTCTTGTCTACTATCTACTTAGTGATTTTCCCTCCCTCCCCCTCCATCCCTGGTAACTATCAAAGAATGTTTCTTTCTGTGCATAAATCTTTTCTTGACTTCTTTTAACAGTGGTCTTGTACAATATATGCACTTCTGTGGTAGACTTATTTCACTCAGCATGATGTCCTCCTGGTTCATCCATGTTGTGAAATGTTTTGTGGATTGATCATTATTCTTTAATGTTGCATAGTATTCTGTTGTGTGTATGTACCAGAGTTTGTTAATGCAGTGTATATACCAGAGTTTGTTAATGCATTTATCCATTGATGACACTGAGGTTGTTTCTATCTTTTTACTATTGTGAATAAGGCTGTGATGAATATAGTGTACATAATATCTATTTGTGTCACAGCTCTTATTTCTCTAGGATATATACCTAGTTGTGAGATTTCAAGATCATGTGGTGTCTATATTTCTTACTTTTTGAGGAAGCTCTATCATTTTCCACAATGGTTATACCATTTTACAGTCCTACCAGCAGTGTGTGAGAATTATAGTCTCCCCACCCCTTGCCAGAATTTAGGTTCTTTTTTTAAAATTCTTGCTGTTATTGCTGAGGTGAGATGATAGCTCATTGTTATTTTGATTTGCATCTCTTTAGAGGCTTATGATCATGAGTATCTCTTTCTATATTTGTTGGCTGCCTCATTGTCGTCTTTTGTGAAGTATATGTTCATCTCCTTTGCCCATTTTTAAATTGGATTGTCTTTTTATTGTTGAGGTGTTGAACTTTTCTATAAATTTTTGAAATTAGACCCTTGTTGGACATATCATTGCAAAATGTTTTCCCCTGTCTGTAGGTTTTCTTTGTACTCTTCTGGAGAAGTCTTTTGATGCTCATAAGTGTTTAAGTTTTAGGAGGTTTTGATAAGTTCTTAAGATTTGGATCTTGTTTTTCTAGATGTCCTGTAGAATTTTTAGTATTACTGTTTTTTATAAAATCACAAGTAATTGCATTGCATAATGCTTTACAATTCATACAACATTTATATATACATTAAATATTAACTAGAGGGACCTATTGCAGCCCAAGTGTGTGCTCTTAACTCCTTGCCTTTCCTGTTTTCCACTGAAGTGACTCAACCAGTATATGAGAGGAAACTGGCTCACCACTCTCACTGAGTTAAGCCTAACCATATACCTGAAGATTGAAATTTCCAAGGAAATTAAATGATTTGGAACAAGTTGGAGGGAGTACTGACTTGTGTATTGTCCTGCCATTTCTTGGTATGTTTGAGTAGCCAGTGCACCTAGAAGAAAGTTTGCCTGTTTTTCAACTTTGTTACCTCCTCTTGGCAAAAAGCTAATAGCCATCTATCACACTTGAGGGGGCACCCATGTGCCAGTGTCTCATCTGCCATCCTGCTCAATTCCAGCATATGCCTACAGAGAATCTACCCTGCCCACACAGCACATAGGATGATGTCCACCTGTAGGTCTTCACAGTTACCCGTGGTGCTCAGCAGGCTGTCCTTATAAATCACTCTGTCAGCAAAGCCAAAAAGAGTTAATTGGGTTAGAGTTAGAGGTTATGGTTATGGTTAGGGTTTCTGTCTAGTATTTTAGACTATTTACTGTAACTAGAGGTTTTAAAAAGTGGTAGTTATTTTTTTACTTCAGTATCACATGTAAAAACTGAATAGCAAATAATATTATGAACTACATTTCAAAGTTTTCAGAATTTGGACCCATGTTTTAAAAGGTGACCTGTTTCTGAACGTTTCATAGTTGTGTCAGTGGTTTCATATTTTGAATTGAAATGTCTTTACTATTATCAAATCTTTATCTAACAGCAAGAGGCCCACAAGATTCAGTCAAATGATGGGAATGAATTGGGTATAAATGATCATGATGCATCTAAAAATATTCCAAAAGTAGCTGAGAATGCTGCAGATAAGAATGAAGAACCCTCAAGCAATCATAGTCCACTTGGAAAAGGTATTATTTTTCTTTTTTTTTGTTAATAGGATACTGACTTTTTCCTCCTCATTTTGAAGTGAATGTGTTCAATCATAAAATTGGCTTGATTGGTGTTCAGTTTGATTTTAGTCTGTATTGTTTCCTATTTAGATCCTTTGATAGAGGAAGAAGAAAAAAAAAAAAAGAGTAAGTTGTTTTAGTTATACTTATGTCCAAAGCAAAATATAAAGATGTTCAGTGAGTGTAGCCTATTGCTTTATAAATTGATTGTTACATTCCTTGAACACATTTCCAATTTGTGTAAGGAAAAATATAGAATTACATGTTTTTGTTGTTTGTATAGAACCAGTCAAGCGAGGTGGTGATGCAGGGATGCCTGGTATAGAGGAGAATGACCTTGCAAAAGTTGAAGATCTTCCCACTTGTAAGTAAAAATTATTGGAGGATTCAATCAAAACAATCATTATTTTCCATGTGCCCTTGGTTCTCTTTTTGAGCAACACTTGGGAAAAGTGACATATATCTGAATGATTGATGTTTCTAGTTAATTACCCATTAATTGCCAGAACTGTTTTTGGATACAAGTTTTATGAATGTTTAACTAATTTTGTTTCTGCCTTGATAAATAGTGAGGTGACTTCTTCTGAACCTTTTCTTGATTAAAAGGGTTATTGTTTATGACAGCTGTACTATATTAGAGTCATTTATATTTACTAAAATTATACATGGTTCATTTTTTTAATAGTTAATGTTTGCAGATTTGCTGTAGTATTGATGTACTTTAATATGATATAGTAATATCTTACAGGAGTTATTCAGGTTTTTAGGACTTGGCTTGTTTTTCAGGGAATTATCCCAGACTTTTAAATAGTTCAGTCATTATTTTTCTTCTTCTTCTTTAATACCACTTCTGTTCAGTGCATATCTTTTTCTTCAGTAATGTTGTTATAGTTCTTAGGTGCCATAGAATCATCTCCGGCTCACAATGACCCTATGTACAACAGAACAAAACACTGACTGGTCCGGTGCCAGCCTCACATTCCTTGCTATACCTGAGGCCATCATTGCAGCCACTGTGTCAGTCCATCTTGTTGAGGGCCTTCCTCTTTTTCCTTGACCCTCCACTTTACCAAACATGATATCCTTCTCCAGGGAATGGCCCCTTCTGACAACATGAACAAAGTAGGTGAGGGGAAGTTTGGCCATTCTTGCTTCCAAGGAGCATGCTGGCTGCACTTCTTCCAGGACAGATTTGTTAGTTCTTTTAGCAGTCCATGGTACTTTAAGTCCATTGGTTCTTCACCAGTACCACAACTCAAAAGCATCAACTCCTCTTCAGTCTTCCTTATTCATTGTCCAGCTCTCACATGCATATGAGGCGATTGAAAATACCATGGCTTGGGTTAGTGCACCTTAATCTTCAAGGAGACATCTTTGCTCTTCAGTGCTTGGAAGAGCTGTTTTGCAGCAGATTTGCCTAATGCAATATGTTGTCTGATGTCTTGACAGCTGCTTCCATTGGTGTTGATTATAGAACCAAGTAATATGAAGTCTTTGACAAATTCACTCTTTTCTCCATCTATCATGATGCTGCTTACTGGTCCCGTTGTGAGGATTTTTGTTTTCTTTATATTGAAGTGCAATCCATACTGCAAACTGTAGTCTTCAGTCTTCATCAGTAACTGCCTCATGCCATCCATACTTTCAGCAAGCAAAGTTGTGTCATCTATGTATCTCAGGTTGTTAATGAGCCTTCCTACAATCCTGATGCCATATTCTTCTTCATATAGTCCAGCTTCACAGATCATTTGCTCAGCATACAGATTGAATAAGTATGATGAAAGGATACAACCCTGACCCACTGCCTTCCTGATTTTAAACCATGGTGGTGTATCCCCTTGTTCTGTTCAAGCGACTGCCTCCTGGTCTATGAATGGATTCCCTATGAGTAAAATTAAATATTCTGGAATTCCCATTCTTCTCAGTGTTACCCATAATTTGTTATGATTCACACAATCAAAAGCTTTTGCATAGTCAATAAAATACAAGTAAACAACTTTCTGGTATTCTTTGCTTTCAGCCAAAATCCATCTGATATCAGCAATGATATCTCCCATTTCATGTCCTCTTCTGAATCCAGCTTGCATTTCTGGAAGTTCTCTGTCATTATACTGCTTCAGCCGTTTTTAATTATCTTCAATAAGATTTTACTTGCGTGTGATATTAATAATATTGTAGTTGTTGTTTTTCTCCTTTTGTTCTTCTTTCCGTGGTTATATGGATTACAATATTAATGATAATTTTCACATTTTATGGGATCACCTTTCTTTGTAATGGGTACAGATATGGATCTAAGTCACTTGTCCAAGTAGCTGTCTTCCAAATCTCTATCAAATTTCTGTCACCGAGGCCATGTTTTCCAACTACTGGTGATTCTTCTTTGTTTCCAACTTTTGCATTCCAATTACCAGTGATAATTAACACATCTTGATTGTATGTTCAGTCAATTTCAGACTGCAGAAGTTGGTAAAAATCTTCAACTTCCTCATCGTTGGCTTTGGTGGTTGGTATGTAGATTTGTATAATAGTAGTATTAACTCTTCTTCCTTCTTGGCATATGGATATTATCCTATCACTGACAGCATTGAACTTCAGGATAGATCTTGAAACATTCTTCAGTAATGAGTTAGCTTGTTATTCCTTCAGGTCTATCACTTTAATTACTATTACTGCTGTACTCCTTAATCCCTTTGGTGTTTTATCTTCATGTCTGTTCTTTTTCTTGCCATTTCTTTTTTGATTTTTATAGGTCTCCTCTCTTAACCCTGCCCCAGTTTATTATGGCAGGAAAGTTAGTAGTACATCTTTGCCTCTTTTTGGCGGTTTGATTCTTTCTCAGCTTCAATGATTGCTTTTGTGTTTATAGCTAGTGTACATAGCTGAAATTGTTGCATCATAGGTCCAAATAAATGAAGTATTAGTTCTTCCGTTTGGGTAGATTTACTACCTTTTCCAGTTTTTTCATGTCTGCGTTCTTGTGGTTTTCCCATTCACAGTTTATTCTCCCAAAATAAAACATAATTATTAACATAATTTAAACTATAATGTTAGAATGAACATGTTTTCTTTGTAAGGCAGTGAAGTAATCCAGTAATTCCTGTACCAGCTAGTGTCAGCCTTACTTGGGAACTTGTTAGAAATGTAAATTCTTAGATCCCACTCCAGAACTACTGAATCAGAAATTCTGGGGATGGGGTCAACAGACTATTTTTAAACAAGTCCTTTAGTTGATTTTGACCCATGCTAAAGTTTGGGAACCACTGGCTTAGACGTTAATTAAAGAAATGTTGAGGACAGCAACTGTAATCTTTTGAATTTTTGCAGTATTTTTTCTAGTACTTGACTAACTGAATTTTAAGCTAATGAATTTCTCTTACATTGCCATTATTTTATAGTTAAAGCCACCTAGTCAAAAATAAATGATTTTTAAAAATCTATTTGGGGAGGCGGGGCAAGATGGCGGACTAGGCAGAAGGATTGCACAGACCCTC